GTCTTTATTTCCTCTTCTTATATGAATCACTGTGGGGTTTCCTTTGCTTTTTGCATTACTATTTTAAATCTTTGATATGACCACTGCAATCAAGATTCAGTCCCTTAAGAACCTAATTAACATGAAATCAGACTCACTTTTACTCATCGCCTCATAATAGAATGGTGGCTTCTGCTTCAGCTCTCAGTTCGGGTGCAGGGAACATTGCAGTCTGCTTAAAAAATTCTCTCTTTACCTGATTCAATCAGAACCACTTACAGTAGATACACACACACACTTCAAGCTTGGCAAGAGAGTCAAGCTTTGGGAAGTGGGGAAGGTCTCAATCACACTCAGCTTTCAGTGCAGAGCAGATGGTGAACATTCCGACTATATAATTTATAGGACACCATCACTACGTATTAGTCCCATTCAGTGGCTGAGCTCAGCCAAAGCACAGCTCATGCACACTCAGAGGGGACTCACACAGGTGATGCTCCATGTGCAACCTGGGTAAGAGGGAAGACCCAGGTTTTGAAGAAAGCACACGCTTCCTGTTTCATCTCCTTCCTAACAGAGAGCAGAGGATGCAGTGCAGCAGTCCTCATCCTGGAGGGTTTTTCTCTTCCCCATGGGCCAGGCAAACACTTCCCAGCCTGCAAACTTGTGTTTGAACTACATCTGTATTATGCAACATCTGCGTGCAAGCAACTCCCCTTCCCAGGGAGCAACTCAAGCAGCAGTAGTATGGGTGCCAGGGCCAGGCGGTGGGTTTGTTTGTACTTCTTCAGGGTCACCGTGCCATGCTGGAACAGCCTGGCATGCAGCTTGCTGAGGGTCACAAAGCCCAAGAGGGATCTGCAGCACCACCGCAGCTCTATTGTGAGAGTGCCTAAGCCTCCCTGCTCTGCCTCTCACCCAGACACATACACGGGGGATGCCAGGGAGGCATGAAAGACCTATAGGTCAGAAGGAAGAATGGCTCAGGACGGCCAAGTTGGGTTGTAATGAAGAAAAAGGTAAAAAGGGAACATCAAGTAGTAAAAACATTCCCTGAAGAGTGAGGCAAAGGCAGCTCCAGCCCTGTCTCTAAGGTTGTAGAGCTTTCAGTCCCCTGCATGGCTAAAAAGGAGCCCTGGAGATAAGCGTGCAAGACTGAGCCTTTACAGATACCTGGTGTGCAGGCACAGAGTGACATTGTGCTATCCCAGGGCTTCCCCAGCTCACACGCCTTTGATCCTCTGCTGCTCAGGATAACAGCACGAGGCACTGAGTCACCCCTCAGTCCCATGGAGGAATGAGGATTAATTAGTTGATGCTGGTGCATTGCACTGAAGAGAGATGCTCCACTGCTGCACGAGCCACAGATTGTTACATACTGAGCTGAGCCAAATGCAGCCCTGGCTTCATGTCTGTGATCTCTGGAAGAGCAAGAAAAAGAACAGCAGTGGGGCCCAAAAATTGAATGTGGGCAATGCCAATGCTGCTGTCAAACCCAGGAGAATGGCCAGCACAGAGGTTCAAGAGAGCTTTAAGCTGACCAGTGCAGACAACGATAGTGCCTCAAGGACTGCCAACCCTCAGCAAACACACAAGGTGTTTCAACAACTCCAGCACAGGGCAGGAGCAAGGCAGGCCCAGTTGCAGCATGGCACCATCACCCTGTCACTGCAGGGTGAGCACAGAGCTGGGCCAGAGAACTTCCACAGTAAGAGAGAAAAGGAAAATACTCCCCAGAAAACAGGGAAAGCCTCCTTAGCATGTTTAATGGTAGCTGGGATTTTTAGGTTTTTCCAGTGTGCCTGAGCACAGGTGCTTCAGCTGGCCCTGGCACAGCTTGTTGTAGTGTCGAGAGAGTGGTGGGATCCAGAGGATAGAGCAGCCCCTGCGCACCAGGGCCGAGTTTCCCAAGGGGAGGTGTTCTCTCTCATTGTTTTTGTCCTTGCCCCACCTCGGCGCTCCTTCCCGTGACGCAGAGAGCCCACGGGGCTCTTGCACCCTGCCCGCAGCTGCACCTGGGCCGCGGCGAGGAGGCAGCCTGCACGTATGTAAAACATGGGCTCTCTTTCACACACCGCTGACTTCCCTCGGCAAAGGAGGCGGCGGGGGGGGGGGGGGGGGGGGGGGGGGGAGGGGGAGGGGGAGGATGGGCACGGTGCCTTTCCTGGCTCCTCTCAAAGTGCCCCACCACATGGTAAGCTCGAGGGGATGAGGGATGTCAGCATCGTGGCACGTGTCAGCTCTCACACAAGGAGCCTGTGGCAAAGGAAACGTGGCCCAGCATGGGCCAGGATCCCACACTACTCAGCTGCCAAGGAGTCTGAGCAAGTCACATCACTCCGAAGTCCCCTGTGCCCGACCTCTCTCGCTCACCGGTTCTTCACAGCCAAGACAGCCCCTCCTGCACAGAGCTGACCCGAGGGGATGCCATCCTGCCTGGCATCGCTGTGCTGTATTAATATTTAACAATGAGGAAGAGATCCAGAGAATTTAATTTCTCCCACTGGCCAATTCAAGGATAATTGAATTGTGAAGGGAATTTCAGCATTTCAGAGGGTGGTTTCGTTCCAGTTCACAACAAAACCCAACCATGCCGCAGTGCCTTCTGAGAAGGATCACAGCTCAGTTTCAGGCAGCCTCCCTGCAGCAGAGTCAGGCATGTAAGCAGCACAAAACACGGCCAATCTCAGGAGGTGCCCAGCAGGCAGGTCCCACCAAACTCTCCCCCACAGAACTTAGGTAAAAGTCAAACTCTGCTGAATAAGAAAAAATGGTTACTTCTGAATGTTTCCACTCAATTCCAGATTTTCGACCCAAAAGCAATGTCAATTTGCCCTCATTACACCCCCTCAGTGGAGACAGCTCCTGCTATAGAGGCAGAGCAAGTGAGGCACAGTGAATTTTTGATACAACGCGTGCCCAGGGTCATGCTAGAAGTCAGCCACAGAGGTGAAACGAACCCAGTGTTTCTGGCTCCCAGCTCTGGGCTGTGCCAGCTATTGCTTTCTCTTGCACATAAATCACTTTTCCCCACCAGTGAAGGACAGCTGGCCACTGAATGGAAAGTGGCAGTTGTTCAGCAGCCCACAGCAACATGCTGCACACCAGCTTAGGGTGGGAAGTGGAGAACACTCAGAGTACAGATAAGACTGCCAGGGGATCTGGGCCAGCTGAATGGAAACAGAGCAGCTGGAATCCAGCCAGAGCAAAGCCCAGTGCTCCTGGAAAATCAAGTCAAAAACCCCAAAGGAGGAAGCATTTCTCTTGCCTTTGCCAGGAGAGCAGGTACCTCTGCCACAGCTCTGCAGGTCAGCTCCAGGCAGCAGAGCAGGGGTCCTCTTGTCCATCACTGATGTGGACAGTGGTCACAATGAGAGCTACCAAGCAGCTCTTACAGCTTGACCACAGCTGCTGAGCACCACTTCTGACCTAACCCAGCCACTCTCTTCAAACAAAGGTCTTGGCAAGCAAAGACATTCAGTTTTAAACAGACCCCAAAGCAAATATTAGAGGTGGCCTTGAATCTAAACCTCTACCACCAATTTCAAGGTTTGGAAGGGACAAATAAATCCCCAGGGCTGGATTTATCTCTGATCTTTGTTCCAGGACAGAGAGATCTATTACCACGGGTGCCGTATCAGTACACAGACTTTCTCTCCTGTTGGCATAGACTGAGCATATCATGTCTTATGCTTAAAAGTTGGTCTAATTTAACTGCTGGTGTGGCAAAGTGAGGGAAAAAAACCCCTTCCCTTGGAAAACCTGAAGTAGTCGAGAGCTATAATCCCAACAGACAATGCCAACCAAGCTGATTTGTGCTGAAATCTCTCACAGAGCACCTCCATGAGCCATTTGCCCAGCAGGCTGAGGATACAAAATCTTCTTCAAGTGACTGGACTGAAGGTAAAATCCTGTGGGTCAACCTATCATAGCAGAAGAGACTGTATGACAACCTCATTCAGTTCCATCCAAGAAAAATCAGTCATGACCAAAGTGCAACCGGTGTGAGGTTTTCTATACTAATTAAATCACTTTTACACTAATTTTGCTGACATAACTGACAAAGAGAAACACATCCACAAACTGAAACAGCCGAACCAGCAATGCTTATAGGTACTTTTGTCACAGAGGGGGATTTCTCTTTGAAAATCTCCAGAGGGATAGGGAACTGAGGCAACAGAGAAAAGAGAAAGCAAGTAGCTCCAAAATGTTTCTGTAAGTTTAGATCTCAGTCAGCTTGGCAAGCTCTTTCGTGATGTTTGAACACAACAGAACCTGAGTCATTAGCCTTAATTCAGCTTCAGGCCTTCCATGCCTCTGATCCCAATCCAAGTACTACTTTCACGAGACCTTTATCAAACATTAGCCCTGGCTACCCCATGAAGATGAAAGATATCCTCAGCTGCCTTGTCTTCTCTGGAAGTAAGGGCAGTGTTATGGCCTGTCTAAACTAATAGCTGACAGTTCCTAGAGGTATTTACATAGTGGAAGATGTAGCTTTAGATGTGTCCCAACTACTTTGGGTTGTAAAACATGATGGACCTGAGACAGAGTGTCATATTCTTAGACACGCTCCACTTCCCCTGCCAGTTCTAGTAAATACTTTCTCCTAAGAGTAAGAAAAATATTTGCCCCAAGGTGAAGCAAGATGCTGCTCTTAAGGAACTAGATTTTATTTTGTACCAGCTGAGATTCAGCCACCTGTAGGAAGTAAAAACAGCATCTTTCTTCTTTGAAAGTAGTAGAAGGAAAGAAATACCACATCTGAAACATAACAGTGGAAAAAAATCTGTTTGAAGGTGCAGGAATGGACAGTAGCACGTGTGGGTTGCTACAAAGCATTCTGGGTGGACCAAAAGTTTCATTTTCACAAGTTCAGAAAACACAGTAAAATTACTCGAGGCCAAAGGGATTTTACCGCAGTCCAATAGTTATTAGTCAACTGGAGAGTGACCTAGGAGATGGAAAAGTCTCCCTGTCTTACAGCAATTGTGGAGGACATGAAAGAGTGGCTCATTTCATGCCACATTCCTTCCTTCCCTCCCCCAGAGTGCACCTGCACATCAAGAGCAAATCGAAACCAGTCTATTATAAACCATGGTCTCCTTTATTTTGAGGGATCCAAATCAAGAGCAAGGCTGAGACAGCATAACCAACACAAAAACTTGTTTCTCAGCATGATTTCCCCTCTCTGGTGGCCAAGTCCTGGTTAGTACCTTCAGAATCACAAAGCTAGCTGAAAGTAGGGCATGCCCATTAAGCTTCCAATCTTCCTTACACAGCCACGACAGTTTGCACATGTCTTTCTCCTTTGGGTTTTAGCCAGAGTCCAGCCCCTTTGGGCATCATAACACAGCTGAATGGTTTAGCTTCTTTTGTTCCAGCTGAAAAACAACCTAGCCCTCCCCCGCCAGCAACAATACAACTGGAACTGGGATTTGTGTGTCCTCTGAGCAAGGATACAGGCTTTGTGCCTTGCTGAGCTGTCTTTGCAAAGACTGCCAACACTCACAGCTGATTAAGCCTGCAGTGCTGCTTTCTGCTTTTCCTGCTCACAGACAGATGTCAGAAACAAGCTAACTGAAATAGCGCACGCAGCTAGAGCTCTCCACCTAGGAACATTAAAGCAGACTATTAGGGATTAAATAAATTGAGCCAGAGCGGAGTTTAACACATTCTCTCTAGGCTTCATTTCTATCTGGCATGCAATTCTGGGTAAGAAAAACCCAGCATCTCAAGAAACACTGTATTCTGGCAGGTAGCTCAACTCGGTGTACCGGAAGAGCTGTATTTGGAAAGGTTTTGCCACCACCACGTGGCTGAAGCCACGAGTGCAGCACAACAACTAACTGGGAGTTTGAGCTGCCGGCAAGGTCCAGCCTTGCTGCCAGCGCAAACCAGAGCAAGTGTTCACAGCTTTTAGTGCCCATCCCACATACATAACAAAGAGCATGCAACTATTAAATATTACTCATTTTATTAAATTAGAACTCTCAAACACTAGTGACTTGCAGTAAGAATAAGGCATGACTTACTGCTGCTAAGAACCTGTTAGTAAAGAGATTATACACAGCATGTGCCAAACGTACAGACATGTGTTTTCTATGTGCTGCTGTGGTCCAGTCTGCTGCATCTGAACTCTGCTCAGCCCTGGGGGCTGGGTTGCTGGGGCTATCCTGGGCTTGACAGGTGGAGTCTTTTTCTTCAAAGATCTAAAAGAAAGCTAAAGTGCTAGATTATCTTCTTTAGTCCATTCCTCCTCAGTTAGTATCAGACATGGAAATACTGAGCCCTTTGATGCGCAGATGCTCACACAGCTGGATTATTAACTGCCAAGTGCGGTCTATCTAGAAGCTGCAGGCCAGCCTTCCTTCCTTATCCCTCTCTTGGTGGAGAGACAAAACCTGGCAGCAAGGTTTCACATTAGTCCAAGGTGCTTTATTTCAACTGGAAGGAAGCAGGAGTCTGCTGCCTCTTCCCTAGGACTTTGGAAATCGTAGCCTATTCTTCTGATATTCTCTCAGAAAAACATGTAGCTCCTGGCCACTGGCCAAGTGGATGAAACTCAAACTTGATCATGAAATGGCATTCAGATGTAACAAAGGACAAGAATCCCCAATTCAAACTGCCCTTCCCACAGCACCTATACGCTATCCACTGAATAGGAATCAAGCTTTTCTTGAGAGATAAGCAACTAGGAACAGTTCTGGATGAGTGGTTGTGACAAGTCAGGCAAAAAGGCTCCCCAATGTGATTCCAACTGCAGCAGCTTGAATGCCTGAAGTGAAAAAAAATCTGACAAATGTGGCTGAATTATCACAACGAGAAGCTAATCATCAGCAGAGTTCCTCATCAGTAAGCTAAAGGACAAGGCAGAAAATCCCGGTACGAGACCAGCACAGATCTGTAACATTCGGAGAAGTCGTTGAGCAGTGGCAACTCGTACGCCTTCCAGCTGGAAACAAAATGGAGAAATTATTTAATCAATAGAAAAGAAGAAAAGCAGTCATAAAAGAAAGGACCAGAGCAGGCAATAAGTGGCTAGCTACAGAAAACCCCAAACAGGCCTATTTACACCCCTAACATCAAGGAAGGTACGGCATTGCCAGCTGAAAGCCCTGAAGGGCTTGCCAAAGGCACAGGTACCACCTGCTGGTAGGGAAGCGGTCTCTGAGGATGGAACAATGAGTATACAAAAGTGAAGTGTGCCACCGTTGGATGCCAAACTCACCCTCCAGCTTTTCAGGCTGGAGTTACCAAGCAGGTAACTGGAAAGAGTGGCATATCAGACGGCAAAACAGTCAGTGAAGCCACAAAGTCTGGCTAACAGGAAGTATTACATGGGAAAGGAAGTCATTGGCAAATAACAGCTCAGGGGCTCCCAGGAAGAAAAAACGCGGCAAGGAACAAGCATACCAAGGGTTTGCATACCAGGGATGACTTTTTTAGTTTAGGCTTGGCTTCCTGAGTCCTTGAAGTAGCACAGTAAGGAGCAGGTTACTAGAAGGCTCATTTCAAGGACAGACTCCTGTACCTCTAGTGTTTTTGTAAAAACAGTCTGGTCTCTGACGCTTACGCAAGACAGCAGCGTATGTACCTGTATTTATTACTAATGTAATGATGTTCCTAAGGATCACAGAGCAGTGGAGTTCAGAAATCCCTCCAGACATCAAATAAGCACCTTACCTCCAGCTCACAGAATAGCACAGGACTGCAGTAGGCTTCTCCCAGTTTACAGACGGCATTCGTCTCAATGCTGCAACAATTCACCCTGCCAACTACAAAGAAGTTTTTCCACATTACAAGCCCCATAATCAGCAATCAGTGAAGAAAAGTACCAGGAAATTCCACAATTAAAAAATGATCCACAGCTAATTTTGAGAGCACCGTGGAAGGTAAGGCAACAGCGAGCAATACAAACAGAATGATAAATGACTTGAACTTGAATTAGCACGAAAGTATTTCATAATACTAACATCAGGAATAGTACTGCCACATTACTGTTAATGTAACATTAACAGTTGGAATAAGGGATCAGTGCACCATCAGCACGGGCAGAATCTTCCACTTACTTATCAGAAATCCTGCTGGCGCATGTAATATCACAGAGTGGTCTTGTCACCAAAGAAATTCACTTCATTAGGAGAGCCACAGGACAAGACAATGCTAAGACTCCTTTACTACCCCAGAACTAGGCCTCCTGATCCCCAAACTCCAGGGATACAGCACCTCTTTTTCAACACCAAGGAGTACAGTCTGGCCACTCCAGTTCCTCAGAGCTGAAGCAGGGAGGGTACACAGGAAAGCACCCTCTCTCCTTGAGGCAGGGAGATAGAAGGATTAGAGGCACAACAGGGCCAGACAGTACACAGCAGGAATACCAGTCTTGCATTAAAACTATACTTAATAGTTTTGTAGCTCATCCATTTAGATTCACTTTATTATCACAGTATCATATGCTCCTCACTGCTCATTAAGATTATCATTAAGGCAGATCTGCAAGAACAGATAAAACAGACTTCTGCAGGGCCACAGGAAAAAAAGAATCAATAACACAAATCATATTCAGGGATTAGGGACAGAGAAGAGAGGTCTGACTGGCAGAATCAAAAATGAGGGAGGGAGTGAGCAAGAGAGAAGAGAACAATGTTTTATCTAAGAAAACAATAAAAAAAGGCAGCTGAGTTCAGACATAATTTAAACAAAGTTATTTACAAAGCCATTGGTTTCCTTTGGTTTATTTCAAGTTAAGTCACTGCCCTGTTTTAAGAAGACTAATAGCACGTGGTGCTGCTTGGAGAGAAGGAAGAGGTGCCATACGTACCTCCAGTGACAAGAAAGCAGACTTTCCCCAGGAAGAAGGTGGCATCCACATGAGCTAGGGAAGCTTCGACATTCTTCAAGCTGTCAGAAAAGTACAGACAATCCAGTTGGACAGGGAGGTTAAACCAGTGCAGCATAAGGACAACAGGAATAACTTTCAGAAGCACAATTAGAAAACCAGTGATGTTAACATCTGCTGATCTGTGAGCTCGCAGAGTTCTGCTCTATGCTAAAAGCATGACATCAGAGACCTCTGTAATACCCACAGTTGTTGAATAATCCATAACATATCCTTTCTACTCAAGACTCAACAGTTAGTCTTTGTTTGAACAGTGTCCTCCATGACTTGCAGACACTAAGCGTCCGAATTCATTAACATCCAATGAGATTCAGCACCACTTTGGCTCTTTCAGGAAGAGCTTGCCCACACATTTCTGCAGCACCATCTGTGCTGTAAGTATGCAGCTGGGCCTGTCATTTTTGGTAAATGAGAGCCCAGGATCATCAGTCACAAGTTAAGTAAGTAATAAAATGCTGACTTCTGTGCCTTAGCAAGTCTTTACTTATGGCCTGGGGACACAAATATCATTTCTACAAAGATAAGTACAAGATGACAGAAAAGGGATCAATCCCTGAAGACTTTTCTTTTTTGCCTAGAGACATTAATAGTGCTGATCCCAGGGGACCAGGAGGGTCCCCCTGTGAAAAGGGGACACAGACGCAGCAACTGGCTGGTTACTAGGTAGCACTGCCCAGTGCATATCAGTCATCTGCATATTACAGAACTTCACAGCACCACCATCATTTCCATCTAATTTTACAGACAGCATCTTTCTAAGGCTCAGTTCATACCATCACATATCCAGATCCAGAAATAAATTCTGCATTCTCTGCTACGGCAACTTAGTGCACAACAGGCATGTTATTGCACAGAACAGTTCAGTCCTAAGCCACTGCTGGAGGCCAGAAAGCCACTGTATACATTACTGAGCTCTTCCACCACAGCAAGTCTTGGGTTTGAAATTCACTATTCAGCAATTCCAAAACAGTAATGTAGATTCAGCCATTAATCCAAGAAAGAATATCAGTTCCCCCTCTCATATTTTTGCCCTTCTTTTACCTGCATTTGCTCTTGATGTCAATCATAAACACAATCAGATCTATCCTGGGCCGAAGGTGATCCCTCTCTGAAGGTAAGGGGAGGGATGTAGCAATGTGACTGAAAGACAATAAATTTGCCAGTTTAACCAAATAGCTTGGCAAGACAGTATCCACTTATGCGTAACCACACAACATTGAAGTTCACCGTGTAGCAAGTTACCAGGTAGCCTGCTAATTACTAAATATGTGGTAATTGAAGAGACAGTGATTTTTAAGTGGTACTCTCATATCGTAGGCACACTCATAGTTGCTGACAGCCACAGTGGTAATCACTAGACAAGGCTCGTTATAATGGGAAGCTTATTAGAGCATAACAAGACTCACGGAAACATTTTTGCTGCACAGATCTGTATGGCAAGTCATTTTCTTTAATTGTCACGAAGAGTCCTTTCTAACAAAGTGGACCCCAATGCTTTACTGGTATATTTTGCTGCCAACTTTCATTTAAAATGCATCAGTGCTTTCCTGTCACATTCCAGAGATTCTGCTCATATACTCACATGGGAGAGGCTACCTTTCCAAGCACAGAAAAACCTTAAACCAGAAACTTATCACTACTACAGCTTTACAGATGAAGTTATAACTCAGAAAGAGTTGCTATTATACCATTACCCCCCTTTTTAACCCTTTTACTGTGCAGGTAACTAGGTTAGTTTATTGCTGATACAGCTGTTGAAAGAAATACAGGGTGGGGACTTTTTGTGTCTCTTCCCACTAAAAAACCAAACAACCACAACCAACTAACTAACAATAACAAAAAACAAACAAGCAAACCAACCAACCAAAAACCCAACAAAAAAGGTTTCAGCAGTGCATAACTGGACCTTCCACAGGGAAGAACATTATCAGCATCTCATTTTTGGAAGATCACCTTAAAGACAAATTGGACAAACAAAAATCCCAGAAGTTCAGTCACTCTCACAGTCCACTTCCTCTCTGGAAGCCAAGAGAGAAACACTGATTCTGATCTTCTTGGGGAATATTACTTCTAGCAATTCAATCTTCACAGTTTTTACCAGCAGCCACAAACCACAGTACACATTCCTTTCTGTTAATCTTATGTAGTTTGTAGTTTTGTCTGCCAGTCTCCAAATAAAGCTGTTTGGTTTCTTACACATAAGGAAGGTACGATTTAACAAAACCATTCTAAAACTGACAGAAGAGATGAGCAAAGTGAGCTTGAAAGACACACTGCAACACAAACAAGCGTATTAATTTAAGGTGAAATTTAGGGAGACACTGTGGTGAAAACATCAGATCTCATTCTCTGGAGGAAAAAAAAAAAGGGAACTTATAAAAAGCACTGCTTTTTTTTTTGGAATTCTGCTATATTTAAACCAAAATTACTAGATGATGTCAGCAGCCTCCAGATATGTGCTGCAGAAACCCTTTTTTTCCCCAGCAATAAGAGAAACAAAAAAAACCAGCCCTGCAATTCTTCTCCCAACAGCTGTACCTGGCAGACAAACTTGCCAGACAAGATACCATATTTCTTTGTAATGTGTATAATCCCAAAGTAATACAGTGGGGGGGGAAAACCCAAAGTAATATAGTGGGGGAAAAAACCCAATACCACTGTAACAGACTTCGCTTTCGTAGTGATATTAACACAGGGACTTATCTTGCTCTGCAGTACAAGCACACGATTCTGTGCCTTTGGGCAGTTACCCATCTGAGTACCAGCAGCCATCTAGTTATGGCATTCCACAGCTCAGCAGAGGCTGCAGGTTCAAAACAGAAAATGGGGTAATTCATTTGCTACTAGTTGGCACAAACATCCAAGATGCCATAATCAGAGCAGTACAGTCGCCCTAATTAGCCAGTGGTGCAACTCCACTCAGGTTGTTTTTACTGCATAGCCATGGATTACAGCAGCGACATAACACAAACACCTTCTGAAGAGCTGACTAAACTCATTTGGTCTTGGACTAAACTCATTTGGTCTTGGCAAGAGAGCTGTCAAGGACATTTCATCATAAAAAGTTAGTTAATCAAGCTTTTAAGACAGCACTTGTCACACAGCTAAAGCTAAAATTTCAAGTGCATCTTAACAGCTCGAGGAGGAAAAGCACGTGTGTGCACACAACTTAGAAAATGGCTACAATGAGCACCAAAAGCACTGGACATCTTGTTTGGTTTTAAGTACTTGCAAGCATTGTACTTGTCCCATTCTGTCACAGGATGTTCAATTTCTGTATATGCCTTTCTCTCAGGTGGGGAAAAAAAAATATCTGTGTTCCTCTCATACCCTTCCAATTTAGTAATCAAACATCTGTGCAACATCTGAAGGGCAACGGTATGCGCATGGTGAACATGAACGCGGGAAGTGCTTCCACCCCCGTTTCCAAGCATGCCCAAACTGCCTGCCCTGAGGGCAGAAGGGTTTGCCCGCTGCATATATGGCCACATCTGGGCAGCGGTGCTCTCTAGCGTTCGCAAGAGAGAAGTTGCTCTCCGAACCGAGCGCCTTGCAGTTCCGACTACCGCCACGGGGGTGGAACCTGCATTTTTAACCAATTTCTGTGCGTGCATTCCTGAAGCAGAAGCCTTCCGTGAATTCGGGTGATCTGGGCCCCGAATGAGCCCGGGGCTGCAGGCGGCGAGTCCCTCTCCCCACCACTCACATGCTGATTTTGAAGTCCCTCTTCTCCTGGAGGATCGCCTCCGCCAGCTTCTGCTGGAGCTCCTCGTCCGAGCCCACCAGCTGCGGGCACAGATGGAGAGCGCGGTCAGGGACAGACCCCCGGCCCGGCGCCGCGGGGCGGGGCCACACCGGGGGACATTTGCATATCGCAGCGGGGCAGCCAATCCCCGCGGAGGGGCGAGCCCGGCGCGCTGAGGCGCGGCCCGAGCCAGCGGAGCGCACGGAACGGGCGGGCTCGGACCGCAGGGCCTGGCCCGGGGAAGGGGGGGCGGGCTGCGGCGCGGCGCCGCCGCGGGACCTACCAGGAGGGCGGCGGAGTTGAGCCCCGGGAGCTTGTCGAACGGCCGCAGCACCGCCATCCCCGCCACAGACGGCACTGCCCGCCCGCCAGAATTCAAACGGCGGCCGCGCGCCGCGTCGCCTTGACGTAGGGCGGGGGCGGGAGGGGCGGGGCTAACGGCGCGCGTGCGCGCTGTTGCCGGCGGGCAGGGGGCGGTGGCAGGGGGCGCTGCGGGGCTGGCCGGGAACCCACCCAGGGAATATCCTGCTGGATAGGACTCAGAGGGATCGGCTAGTCCAGCTCATGGCACTGCGCAGGACGGCCCGCAGAGTCACACCATGTACCCAACAGCATTCTCCAAACGCTTCTTGAACTCTGCCAGGCTTGGTGCTGTGACCGCCTCCCTGCAGAGTCTGTTCCTGAGGAACCTTTTTCTAATAGCCGACCTAAACGTCTGCCAGCACACCTTCAGGCCATTCCCGCGGGTCCTATCGCTGATCGTCAGAGAGAAGAGATTAGTGCCTGCTGCTCCACTTCTCCTCATGGGGAAGTCGTAGACTGCAGGCGCAGCGCAGGCCCCGTCGAGCACTCGGATACCACATGCTGGGACTGACCACCAGAGATGGCTAATCACGGTAAAACTCTGCAAAGCAGCGGTATTTCTGTGGCATCCAGGTGTCCAAAGGGTCAGTCATGCCTGAGGCACCCATGAGTGGTGCCAGGCAATGCTGGAGAGATGCTGAGGATTAGGATGGTGGCCTCACCTCGGCTGTCCAGGGGCATCATGGACAGCCTAAGCTTCTGAGGAGCAAAGCCCTTATTTCCAGGGCTGGGCTGTCCCCTGGTCCTTGCCATGAGCAGATGCCCATTTGTTTGGTCAAGGCTGAACAATATCAAAGGCTTCAGTAAGATTCAACTGCCTCCTTACATTAGAGTTTATAATGTGAACTAATACATAGAATCATAGAACTGTTAAATCAAAAGGACCTCTAAGATCATCGAGTCCAAACAATGAACCAGCACTGCCACGTTCAAAACTAAACCGTGTCCCCAAGTGCCACATCTACACCTTTTCAAACACTTTTGGGATGATGACTCCACCAGTTCCTTGGGCAGCCTGTTCCAATCCCAGACCACCCTTTTTAGTGAAGAACTGCTTCCTGATGTCCATTGTAAACCTCTACTGCTGCAACTTGAGGCTATTTCCTTTCATCCTGCTGCTTGTTATTTGGGAGACCAACCCTCACCTCACTACAACCTTCTTTCGGGTAGTTGTAGAGAGCAATAAGGTCTCCCCTGAGCCTCCTTTTCTCCAGGCTAAACAGCCCCAGTTCTCTCAGCCTCTCCTCATAGGACTTGTACTCCAGACCCTTCATCAGGTTCGTTTCCCTTCTCTGGACATGCTCCAGCACCTCAACATCCTTGTAGTGAGGGGCCTAGAACTGAACACAGGATTTGAGGTATGGCCTCACCAGTGCCAAGTATGAGGGAAGAACGTTAACAAAGTTAATACACTCATCCTATAAAGAGTGCTTGAAGGAAGGGAATTTCCCTAACACTGTATGGCAGCAGCACCTGGATTTGCTCACTGAATTGTTCTGTGCAAGGTTTTCTGGCAGCTCCAGCAGCGTCAGCCTCCATCCTGCCCCTTCCTGGGCACCTTCTCATCTCCTCCCTGGCTGGTTGGCCTCTGCCCAGCCCCATGCTCCCCTGCCAGTGATACAGGCGAAGGAGGCTATGCAGAAGCACTGCAGTTATAGAGGCTGAGCTTTTCTCACTCCAAGGTCAGAGCAGGAGGATGATATGCACTGATGTAAAGCCCTCAGAGGTCCAGTGTACCTCGATGGCCTGTGGTCCACCTTGCTGCATCTCCTATTCTTTGCCTCATCCCTGTGTTTGGCTACAAATTCTCAATGTGAGAAAGGGGGTCCAGGACCCCTTCAGCTGCCTGCTGGTGCTGGCTCTCCCTGCCCCTTACACCAGGACACCTCCAAATGGCAGGAGACATGCTGGAGAGGGAAGAAGGCTGCAGGAGAACGAAGACATATCTCCCCTTCTGCAGCAAGCTGGAGAAGGGAGATGAAGGGGAGGGGGTGGGTTAATGTAAGCTGACATCACATGACTGCCGTGGCTTTTTTGATCTTGACAAAGGCAGACGGTTTCATTCGTTGCCAGCATGAGACAAATTACAGGTGAAGCAGAAGAGATTATAGGATATTTCTGGCTGGTTTTGAGTTTGGTAGGGGGAAGGGAGGATAAATCCAGGGTAGATGTGTCCTAAAGATGGGAGGCAAGCAGATGCGATAAATAACAAGAGCCAGTTCCCAGGCTGGGGGGATGTAGAGCACAAAGGGGACAATGTTCCTTTCCGGCTGCTGAGAATGTGGAAGGATCTGGCACCCACCTAAAACATGTTTGTCCTCTTTCTGCCTCCTGCTACTCCCTGTTGCCTGCTCTCTGGCCACACAGAAGGACCTGGGTGGCTTCAGTGTCTGGCTGGGGATGTGCTCACTGTCCGCTGTCACTGCAGGCTTCCTTCTTCTCACAACACCCGTATCTGTGGAGATTTATTGGGTCCAGATGAGCTACCACTGATCCCACAATTATTCCTTGTCCCCAGCAGGTTTCTTGGCTGCTCCTTGGCAGACTTACCTCTGCAGAGATGACATCCACTTTCCCATGGAAACACAGAGATTCATCCTGCTCACTCCTCTGTGTGCATCTTCACTGTGCCCATTTGCCAGGGGGATGCCTTCCCCCCAGCCCCTTACCAACAAAAGATCCTTGAGTACACAGACCACCTCAGAGTGACTTGGAGCAGGGCAGTGGAAATGCTGATGGTCCCTGCCTCAAAGTCTAGGCTTGGCAGAGCCAGTTTCCTCCTGGGATGCAAAGCCATTGCCTAACAGCTGGCACAGTGAGCTAAGCCAGGCAGATTCGCTTTGCTTTCCTCTCTCTTTGAAATGCTGCCAGGGATGCTCCACAGCAAAGCCTGCAGTGCAAGCTCAGCTCAGTGGGGAACTAGAGAGGAGAACAGGAGTCATCATCCTGCACCTTTGTTGGCTATTTACACATGGGCCGAGAGGTGTAAAACACATCTAATGTCAAAGAGTAGCATTTAAAAACTGTTTTCATGGTAGAGGATGGTGTAAGGAGGTGGAGACTCAGGGTGGCAATGTGCCTGGATGAGACACAGTTGGTGTTGGAGGCTGGAGTGTGTTTACATATTACTGTGTGACTGTGTCAGGCTGTTTCACTTCTCACCACCCCATTTCCAGTTTGCAAAGTGGGACTAATGAGTCTATCTCTGCTTCTGAGTGGTGCAGGAGAGATAAGACAGAGGTGTCTGTGCACTGGCCGCCAGTGAAAGCAGAAGGACAAGACCAAGGCAGGACATGGAAATGGAGAGCTCCTGATTTTACTTTGCGGGCTGATTTTGCTTTGGTAGCACAAAACCATTCCAAAAATAGGTAGAAGTGTATTGTACATGAAGATGCTCTCTTGCTGCCAACAAAGGCAATTAACGTCAGTGAGACTTGACCTGGCCATCACCAGTGCTCCCTGGGAGCAGGTTGCTCCTGGGGCAGTTGCTCCTGCAGCAGGACAGCACCAGCCACTACAAAAAATACTATACAGCACACCTTGACCTTGTATATCCGTGACCAGTTTGCTGTATGCCTCATCCAGTGGCTGCATCTCAGGATATCTCTCTTGGTTCTCCCTGAGCAGCCAGAGGAATGAAGGAGACAGGCTTTGGAGATGGTCTAGAGAAGAGCACTGCCCCAGCATGGTCCCAGTTATCTCAGCACCTGCTCCCAGACCTCCCGACAGTGGTGGCTTCATTCCAACCCCATTCAGCACAAGTTCTTGAGAGGTAGCCTGGCCATACATCACTGGCTCCAGGCTGACCTCTCTCAGTCCTTTTTGGGAAGCCTACAGGATACGAACTCATGTGTATTTGATTGGATTTGTTCTCTCACTAATAGACAAAAAATTATATCATTTGCAGCAAGTGCAAATTATTAGAGAAACTAATGGCATTTCCACATATGTTGCTGGCAACTTCAGCTTCCTTTGGCAAAGACTTTTCCCAGGTATTGTTAGACCCAAAGCAAGTAATCTTTTTCCATTCTGCTCTTTAACTTAACTTGCCATACACATTTCTTTAGCTTTTTGATCAACTCAGTTAAACTTCTCTTGTGGGTTTCCTTTTTTGAAGCTGCAGTAGCACCCAGAAGGGGGGTTACTCTGCTTTCCCACCAGAGTATCCTTGTCTGATGCTCTGCCATGCATCCACTGTGCCTTCTGCATCCTGCAGCAGCTCCCTCACCTCCAGCTGCTGAGCAAGGAAGCATTTCTGTGAGTCTTGCTGGAGTTTTGTCTTTTACTGTGGACCTTGGGAGAGGCAAGTTTAATAAACTCAGTCTTCTCCCATGCCTCTACCTACCTTGGGAAAGTAATATTTGGGAAATTGGTGTTACCTTAGGCAGGCATCAACTTGTGTTTGATCATCTCAGAAAATGCTGATAAAAGCATAAAGGACACTAAAGAACAGTGAAGAAACTTGTTAGGAAAGACTAGAATAACACTTAACCACACTTAACACTTAAATGTGTGCCTGGAGTTGCCCAACAGTCTCCTCTTTCTCCAGGCAGGGCTTTTGTCTGAGAAGGGTTTCATGATTTCTACTCTGGCTGCGTGGCCCTCTCACATCAAACCCAACCCCATGCAGGTGAATTTGTAGCTGCCCAGAGATATGGAGGGTAGTCATAAGTTCAGTGGCAAGCAAATGTTCTGGGGTAAATGGCTTTGAGGGGCTCATGTGTCCAAAGCCACTCAGGGGCCTCCTCCAAGGCAGGCAGAGGGGACTGAAAGCTTCCCAGGCACTGGGCAGAATGATACACACATGCTTATGCCTGGAAGATCTGAGTGGCACACAGCAGCGTTATCCGAGGTGAAAGCTGAAGTGCAGCTGAAGCGTTTCCATGCAGTTTGAGCTGTACTGGCACGTCGATGACTGGAGCTGTCTCGCCACTACAGCTCCTGTTGGAAACCAAGGGATGTGACAGCACCTGAGAGCCCTGTCACAGGCAGCAAGCAGCTGTGGTGGAGACACGGGGTCTGCAAGTGTGTCCCAGCTCTGGCAGCACAAAGCCCAGTGCTT